CAGTGAGAGACAGAATAACAACAAAAAAATCCAGAAAAACACGTCAAAAATGTTATGAATTGATTTGCATTTTAATGAGAAAAATCAGTATTTGACCCCTCTGCAAAACATGACTTATTACTTGGTGGCAAAACCCTTGTTGGCAATCACAGAGGTCAGACGTTTCTTGTAGTTGGCCACAAGGTTTGCACACATCTCAGGAGGGATTTTGTCCCACTCCTCTTTGCAGATCTGCTCCAAGTCATTAAGGTTTCGAGGCTGATGTTTGGCAACTTGAACCTTCAGCTCCCTCCACATATTCTTTCTATGGGATTAAGGTCTGGAGACTGGCTAGGCCACTCCATGACCTTAATGTGCTTCTTCTTGAGCCACTCCTTTGTTGCCTTGGCCGTGTGTTTTGGGTCAGTGTCATGATGGAATACCCATCCACGACCCATTTTCAATGCCCTGACTGAGGGAAGGAGGTTCTCACCCAAGATTTGACGGTACATGGCCCCGTCCATCGTCCCTTTGATGCAGTGAAGTTGTCCTGTCCCCTTAGCAGAATGTTTCCACCTCCATGTTTGATGGTGGGGATGGTGTTCTTGGGGTCATAGGCAGCATTCCTCCTCCTCCAAACACGGCGAGTTGAATTGATGCCAAAGAGCTTGATTTTGGTCTCATCTGACCACAACACTTTCACCCAGTTCTCCTCTGAATCATTCAGATGTTCATTGGCAAACTTCAGACGGGCCTGTATATGTGCTTTCTTGAGCAGGGGGACCTTGCTGGCGCTGCAGGATTTCAGTCCTTTACGGCGTAGTGTGTTACCAATTGTTTTCTTGGTGACTATGGTCCCAGCTGCCTTGAGATCATTGACAAGATCCTCCCGTGTAGTTCTGGGCTGCAATCTGAGGTGCAGTTAACTCTAATTAACTTATCCTCTGCAGCAAAGGTAACTCTGGGTCTTCCTTTCCTGTGGCGGTCCTCATGAGAGCCAGTTTCATCATAGCGCTTGATGTTTTTTGCGACTGCACTTGAAGAAACCTTAAAAGTTATTGAAATGTTCCGTATTGACTGACCTTCATGTCTTAAAGTAATGATGGACTGTCATTACTCTTTGCTTATTTGAGCTGTTCTTGCCATAATATGGACTTGGTATTTTACCAAATAGGGCTATCTTCTGTATACCACCCCTACCTTGTCACAACACAACTGATTGGCTCAAACGCATTAAATGGAATGAAATTCCACAAATTAACTTTTAAGAAGGCACACTTGTTAATTGAAATGCATTCCAGGTGACTACCCCATGAAGCTGGTTGAGAGAATGCCAAGAGTGTGCAAAGCTGTCATCAAAGCAAAGGGTGGCTATTTGAAGAATCTGAAATAAAAAATATTTTTTAGATTTGTTTAACACTTTTTTGGTTACTACATGATTCCATATGTGTTATTTCATAGTTTTGATGTCTTCACTATTATTCTACAATGTAGAAAATAGTAAAAAAATAAAGAAAAACCCTGGAATGAGTAGGTGTGTTCAAACTTTTGACTGGTATTGTGCATACACCATTCTTAATCCAGCATTTTTCTACACTGCTACGTTCTCTGGGCCAGAAGGGGCCAGATGTCGTCCTAGCATTGGAATTCAAAGTGGAACAGGTGACAGGCTGGAGATTCATTGGGAGGCACCAAACCATCTCTCATGTCAAGACTATATCACCTTGACAACATGTGGAAAAGCATATTCTGACATATCAGTGTGATTGAGAGGGACATAATACATAATAATAATAATAATAATAATAATAATAATAATAATAATAATAATAATAATAATAATAATAATGACATAATAATGGTAGGTAGGATGGGAGGTGGTAGAGGAAAGGAGAGGAGAGAAGGGGAGAGGAGGAGAGGAGAGGAGAGGAGAGGAGAGGAGAGGAGAGGAGAGGAGAGGAGAGGAGAGGAGAGGAGAGGAGGAGAGGAGAGGAGAGGAGAGGAGAGGAGAGGAGAGGAGAGGAGAGGAGAGGTGGGGAGAGGGGAGAGGAGAGGAGGAGAGGTGGGGAGAGGAGAGGAGAGGAGAGGAGAGGAGAGGAGAGGAGAGGAGAGGAGAGGAGAGGAGAGGAGAGGAGAGGAGAGGAGAGGAGAGGAGAGGAGAGGAGAGGACGTTTATGTACAGTCCATAAATGTATATGTAAACATGTACACTATACACTGAATGTACAAACATTAGGAACACCTTCTAATATTGACTTGCTACAGTTCAAACCCAAAACGATAGATGAGCAACACAATTGACATCATTTATATTCTCACATATTCTCCAAATCACATTGATGTGCCGTTTGTAAATTACAAACAGGCCCCACATTCTCATGAGAGCGGGCTGGTTGGGGTGGTGAGTTGTGGGCTAGCATCATGCATCATGATAGCGGGCTGGTAAAGAATGAATCTGTTGAAAAGGGTTGGTCGATTTGATGAATATGACTTGTGACCATTAATTATGTTGATTTTATCTCTTGGGAATAGCTGTGTAATGATGTTGATGTTATCTCTTGGGAATAGCTGTGATTTACTCTGGGATGGGTTATGACATTGTTTGCTTGATTCAGCAGATGTGGTTAAGGAGATAATTTAATGTGTTAGGCCTTGCTTGATTCCATGCTATTTGCTTCATAGGGCTTCAATACTGCAATCACAAAAGCTGCTTAAATATCTCACATTGGGTGTCATTATAAATCATTGTTTAGCACAGCTGCCATTTATTTCATTTTGCCAATTATTTCATTGTTCATAAAATAAGGTGTGATCTCATAATTTAACTGGAAGGATTAAAATGCTTATTTTTATAAATCATTTGGCAATGTTTAAATGAATTAATCCAGTGTTGTATGCATTTAATTTATGTGTTTATATTGACATACATCATATTGATGTGGGAAACACACACAGACACAGACACACACACACACACACACACACACACAGTAATTATATATAACAGTCGTAATGTTGCCTAATGTATAAGTGGAAATAGGTGTGCAGCCTGACGCCTAGTTGCCTGACGTCTGCGTGCATATAGGCCTACTGTGGGTAACGATGCATCAGCTGCGGCGCCGTCCCTTTCTTCAGGAGCAGGACTGAGAGGTTTTAGTTTTCCAGATTGTAGAATCATAAAACAAGTGGAACCCCTTCCATAGTGTATTATGTAATAGCATTACAATCCTCTCAAAACAGTATAGGCCTACACTTGATGTGCCTTCTTGATGGTAGTAGCCTATAAGTATTATCGGGCAGCTATAGACTATTTCACCCGCATGTTGGTTTCTTAGTTGAGTGCCTCGGATATTGATCTGTGTAAGGATTGTATCGAAAATACATGCGTACTTATGGAGTGGTCTATCTGATTTAACCTATTGTGTTCTCCATAATTTGATTGACATTCAATAACCGTAGTTTGAAAATATAAACGTGTGTTGGCTTGTCCCATATGGTAGGCTATGGAGCAATGCAGCCAGCAAAAAAATCTTCCAGAACGCGTCGTTTTTCTTTAAAACAAGTTGATGAAGAAAAATATTTAAACGCAACGGACTACAACCGCCACAATCTAAAACATAACGCCATAACTTAAAACATAACAGCATTTTTGTAGAATAAAGAGTTTTGACTTTAGGATAAATTAGATGATGTGGTCAGATCATATAGCCAATATTGCGCCCTATACACAGTAGCCTAAACAGAAATATTTACCCTAACAAAAAGAATAGGCCTAATTGTTTTTATAGCAAATTTATAAATGTATCTAATCTCACTTCTCTGTTATGAAAAACTCTCTATGCCCAGAAAAATATGTCCAAAGGGAATCCTGCGAGATGAAAAGTAGACGCAAAACAATCATTCGTGTTCTATGGGGTGTTACTTTTTACGATCGATTGTTCTGTCACAACGTGCTGCTGAAATTGCATGTTTTACATGTAACTGCACACGCGGATAACTTCCTTATTCTGATTTAATCTGACTGAGACCGTCATTTGTTCGAAGGTGTCGGCTAAATATAATAAAAAAAATAAAAAAAACAATACTCCGTTTTCTAATGGCATGTTGAAATTAATATCAGATAGATTATTAGGCTACCGCCTAAATTAATCTAACAATAAATGACTCTATTGCACATCGAGTGGCGAAATTACATTTGTGTCAGATCACTGTAGCCTAGCCTGCAATTTGGCTTACTTATTTAAAAATATATTTTGCAGTCTTAAAGGTATCGAAATGTGAATAAAATGTGATTCGAATAAAATGTTACTAAAATGTAGTTTATATGGCACTGATTTAAAACCAAAATAGGCCCTACACACGTCTTAAAATCAATTAAATTGCGTCGATTTTTAACAGACCAATGATGCTCATGTCTCACATACTCAAGTGTTAATCATGAAGTAATCAAGCCATTTTTAGGTCGAATTATTTATTCCATAAACAACCTACCAGGTTCATAAACCTGATTTAGCTTGTGGAATTAATAATGTAATTTATGAAGAAATATGAGATAGCCCAATTTACCAGAAAATTATCTAAACATGTCATTCTAAGGTATAGTTTAATGTGGAAAGGTTATTTGCTATGTGGCCCACCAGACATCAAAATAGGCTAACCACTTTCCGATGAAAAACACAATAAGAAAATAAGGAAATAAAAAAAAAACTCCTCAAAATATGCATTTCAAAAACAACATACTCACTGCCTTGTAATGTCAATGTAACGTCAAGATGGCGTCATCCAATATATCCTACATCTTTAATTGTAAGAAAAAGAATGCACCTTGAGCTTCTTACCAATTATATTATAATGACTTTATTTTTGTCACGCTTGGAGCTATCGCAAATAAATACATTGAGCCCACAGATCCCGTCCTGCATGAAATACAACCAATATAAAGTAATGTAGGCCTAAAATCTCCTTTATAAATGTATAGTTATTGTCCGTCTGTCTGCCTGCCTGCATCTTCTACTGGTATGCTAATGGTATCCTAATGCGGATGCCGTGGTGAGTCTCTGTCCGTACAAGGCATAGGGAGAGTAATATGAACCTGTGGCAGCGGGCATCTGAACCGACGCGCCGGGGGGCAGGGGGCTCTTTGAATAGGGGTGATAGCGCGTGCTCAGTCCCAGAGGATGATGCGGGCTCCTGAGTGTGAGCGTTCCAGGGCTGCCCGGGGTGCCGTTCGGGGGCATGTGCATATGGCAAGCCATGGCGGCCGCGGCTGCGTTGGCTAACGAAGATGAACCCGGGTACCCTGATATCAACTTCTCCGTCCCCGCAAAAGCAGTGTGAGTCCTTAGGTGATTTAGAAGCTCTTCTGAGGAAGAAAAACGCTTGTCACAAGGTCCGTTAGCCGACACCCAATTACAGACGTGTGGCAGAGGGTCATTTGGGAGCATAAAGCCATAGGGATATAACGGGTGTCCAGCAAAAGATGGCGGCGAGGAATGCACGCTGTGCAAAGGGTGAGTTGGGTACATGAGAGGGTATCCTGACTTCAAAGCCGAGGATTCATGGCACTGAGAGGCACCGGAAGCACCGGATAAGTGGCTCGGGCAGTGGTAACTCAGGCAGTACGGGTCTCTGCACAGGCTAGCAGACATTAGAGACGGAGGAGAAGCCCTGGACAAGGGGCTCCCAGCCTTACTGCACTGAAGTTGGCTGGCAGCGGCAAACTGAGCACTGAGTAGTTGACTGCTAGATTTCGTCGGATCTAAAGTCATTCCATGAGGGAGAAAGTGTTGGGGATAGCCTGCATACGCACCCGCTAAACTTCCAGGGTAGGACATGCCGGAATGCGGTAGGGGAAAAACACTGTGACCAGGTTTGTAGGGGGAGACGGGCGCTACGAGTCCTCCTGAACCCAGAACAGATGATGACGAGGAGACAGATGTGAGTGAGTCTGATGTGATAGCCTTTGATCCAGAGGTGTTCTCCTGGCGTTGGTTAACCTCACCATTAATCCCACATATCCGTCTGTGACTGCCGCTGCCCTCCGTTGTACCGTTTTTATTGCTATCAAATTCCTTCTTATTTTCCTCCGTGTCTCCCTGCTTACCATCTGACGGCAGCGGAGACACAGAGTGGCAGGAGCTGGGGCTGCCTGTCCTGGGGGTGAACGGCTGACAGGTGGCGCTAGGCACTCGGAAACTAACTTTATCTCCACTCAGACTGCCACTGCCGAACGAGGAGTCCTTGTTCTTCTCCGATGATTTGGAGTAGGGTTTGAAGCTAGATTTGTCTTCATTTCCAATGTCACTCATTTTTAATGGTGCAGATTTGGTCTCTTTGTCACTAGATCCATTTGAGGTTACGGATGAGAGTTTGGAAGAGGACGGAGGGTCTGGTTTGCCGATTTGAGAGCAGGTCTGTGCTAAGAGAGCCAACGGACTTTTCTTGGCATCCAGCTGCGAAATAAGATAAAATAATACTTATTATTCACGTTTTCACTGTAATGTTTTTTTATTTATGGGGTGTTTAAAAAAGAACCAATATGTTCCTGTTATATATGCAGTATTTTATGCGCCCTTGGAGAACACCACAAAATTACGCACAAGTTTAACACACTGCGCATAGGACTACATTTATCTCCAGTTCATTTTACAATAACAATATGATAATTAACTGATATAGTTACAAGAAAAATTGCCTAATAGTACCAATATAAAAAAAATATGAAGATTCGTTTGTAACTGCCCAAAATCACACTTTAGCTATCCCTATTATATCCCGTAGTATATGTGGTGCTTACCTCGATGGGACTGATAGGGGTTGATGGCAAAGGTTGAAGGTACTCCGGGTGCAAAATATGACCTCCCCGTGCGGTAAGCATTTTCAAAATCTTTATGGGTATACGATTAGCCTGCCGTAAAGGGTCTGAGGGAGAAACGAGGTGAAGAAATGGCTTGTTGATTCTCGCTGCGCCCTTCTCCCCTGAAGAACTGCTCTCCCACACCGGATTCGCGATACTATTTCTCAGAACAGAGAATGCAGGCGATGTGATCATGACCCAATTGTCATTGAAATGGGAGAAAAATACATTTGATGTTCACGAAGAAAAAGAAAACGCATCAAAGTAACATGTTGTTCTATAGCACCGCAGTTCGAAATAAAACCAGTAAATAGATAAACTTCGTATAATCCTTATTAGAGGAGGAGAAGATCAGAACATATCCCGTTAATTTCGCAGCAGGAGTGTGCGGCTGTATCCTTCCTCAGTGTCGCTGTGTGTGAGCGTGTCAGCGGCAGCAGCACGTCTGTGCGCTTGCTCTCTACGTCGGATGTAGAAGAAAAGCTCTTCTCCCTTCAGCAGCGTCTGAATTAGTCTCGAGATTAAAGCCTTTGCCGCCTTCCAATCAAATGAGCCCCCGAGGTGATTGGGAGAGTCAAGGGAATGTGACGTCGCCTCCTCAAACGGGCGTATTATTTATCCGGGGGATATCCTGGGAATTACTTAAACCATGTCCATTGACATAAATAGTCTATTCGTTTTATGGGAAGTGTTGTTGTTGTGAACATGTTATGCATGTAGAATACATGTAATATCAATAAAACTATTCAGTCTGATGACGTTGAAGCAATGTGGAAAACTGATTGGATTTGCAAAAAGTCAGTGATGTTCGTCTTTTTTTTTCACCAAACTTTTAACCTACAGTAAATCCAATGACATTGTGACATGTTTTTTTGATTTCATGTTGAATTCATTTTAGTGGACATCTCAACCAAATGTAAATCAAAACTAGATTTTGTTGAAATGAGGTCTGTGCCCAGTGGGTAGTCTATCTATGTTATAGGATGTTTTAGTTAAGCTTAAAAAACGCCAAACAGAAGATACACTACATTACCAAAAGTATGTGGACACCTCCTCTTCGAATATCTCATTCCAAAATCATGGGCATTAACATGGTCCCCTCTTTGCTGCTAAAACAGCCTCCACCCTTCTGGGAAGGCTTTCCACTAGATGTTGAAACATTGCTGCTGAGACTTGCTTCCATTCAGCCACAAGAGCATTAGTGAGGTCTGGCACTGATGTTGGGCGATTAGGCCTGGCTCGCAGTCGGTGTTCCAATTCATCCCAAAGGAGTTCGATGGGGTTGAGTTCAGGGCTCTGTGCAGGCCAGTTAAGTTCTTCCACACCGATCTCGACAAACCATTTCTGTATGGACCTCGCTTTGTGCACAGGGCATTGTCATACTGAAACAAGAAAGGGCCTTCCCCAAACTGTTGCCACAAAGTTGGAAGCACATGCTGTAGTGTTAAGCTTTCCCTTCACTGGAAGAAAGGGGCCTAGCACGAACCATGAAAAACAGCCCCAGACCATTATTCCTCCTCCACCAAACTTTACAGTTGGCACTACGCATTGGGGAAGGTAGCGTTCTCCTGGCATCCGCCAAACCCAGATTCGTCTGTCGGACTGCCAGATGGTGAAGCGTGATTCATCACTCCAGAGAACATGTTTCCACTGCTCCAGAGTCCAATGGTGGCGAGCTTAACACCACTCCAGCCAACGCTTGGCATTGCACATGGTGATCTTAGGCTTGTGTGCGGCTGCTCGGCCATGGAAATGCATTTCATGAAGCTCCCGATGAACAGTTCTTGTGCTGACGTTGCTTCCAGAGGCAGTTTGGAACTCGGTAGTGAGTGTTGCAACTGAGGACAGACGATTTTTAGGCGCTACGCAGATTCAGCACTCGGCGGTCCTGTTCTGTGAGCTTGTGTGGCCTACCACTTCCGGCTGAGCAGTTGTTGCTCCTAGACGTTTCCACTTCACAATAACAGCACTTACAGTTGACCTGGGCAGCTCTAGCAGGGCAGTAATGTGACAAACTGACTTGTTAGAAAGGTGTCATCCTATAACGGTGCCACCTTGAAAGTCACTGAGCTCTTCAGTAAGGCCATTCTACTGCCAATGTTTGTCTATGGAGATTGCATGGCGGTGTGCTCGATTTTATACACCTGTCAGCAACGGGTGTGGCTGAAATAGTTGAATCCACTAATTGTAAGGGGTGTCCACATACTTTTGAATAAATCAAATCAAATGTTATTTGTCACATGCACCGAATACAACAGGTGTAGACCTGATCCTACTTCCAATGCCTGAGGTTCCGTTCCAAATGGAACCCTATTCCATATATAGTGCACTACTTTTGACCAAAGCTCTATGAGCCCTGGTCAAAATTTGTGCACTATATAGGGAATAGGGTTCCATTTGGGACGCATACCAATGCCTCTGTCTAAAGTAGACAACTCTCATGTCATCATATTTCACCAACACTGAAGAATGACATATTCGATTAGGCAGCGCAGCTCCAAGGACAGTAATTCAGGATTTATAGAAAATAGAAAATATATTTTCGGGTTTTGAGTTGACAAGTGCACAATGTTTGTTTATATTGACTGTGGTTCAAAAAACATTTATTCACATGTTTTTATTCTCTCATAATATTGTAAAATGTCGCCTTTTATTGATTGTCTTTTCATTAGGCCAATGTGCCAGAATTCAAATATGACAACTGGAGAAAATTAAGGACTGACGCAAAAAGTCCCAAACATATCAAACTCATTATTTTCTATTTATCTGAAGGGTGACCCTAAAATCAATAGTTTGATTTAGTTTAGATTGAGCTACTCAATTTGCCCAATCAAAATGATGATAAACATAAATTGTCACATCTAAACAAGATATTATGAATGCAAACCGCCCTATAGGATAATTTCCCCTGACAACTTGCCTGTTACATTCGACCAATTATACAAGCTAAACGGCTCAAAAACGATTTGTCATTCATAGCGTAATATCACCTTATTTAAGTGTCCAGCTTGATCAGAAACAAAAATAAACATATGCGAGTGATAAAAAAAAAAAAAGATAACAGGGTTGCTCTTTTCGGCAACGGCTGTCAGGCTCCCAACACAGCGCATGAGTTATTAGGGAGTAGAAGGGCGACCATACAGTTCCAACGTCAAGCAAATATTCATTTTATTGTCCACGTGATGGATAGCCCACTGCGCCAGACACCAATTACTCGGCATTATCCTTAAACGGGAACATATTGACATTCAAATATATCGTTTGAAATCCCTACCCATATTTCACACCAGTGATGTGTTTATGGATCACTCCCTACATGATGCAAATATAATTATTTATAATTATTTACAGCACAGACTCTCCATAGAGATCTTTCACCACTTTTCTGAGGACAGTCACGGTGGTTGGAGACTGATGCAGTATTGGTAACGGATTCTCTCATACAATATAGGCATATCGGAGCAATTAGCTAAACTGCAGAGAACTTCAGGAGGGGGAATTAGTTAAACTGCAGAGACCTTCAGGAGGGGGAATTAGTTAAACTGCAGAGACCTTCAGGAGGGGGAATTAGTTAAACTGCAGAGACCTTCAGGAGGAGCAATTAGCTAAACTGCAGAGACCTTCAGGAGGAGCAATTAGCTAAACTGCAGAGACTTTCAGGAGGAGCAATTAGCTAAACAGCAGAGACCTTCAGTAGGAGCAATTAGCTAATCAGCAGATACCTTCACTAGGAGCAATTAGCTAAACAGCAGATACCTTCAGGAGGGGGAATTAGTGAAACTGCAGAGACCTTCAGGAGGAGCAATTAGCTAAACAGCAGAGACCTTCAGGAGGAGCAATTAGCTAAACTGCAGAGACTTCCAGGAGGAGCAATTAGCTAAACAGCAGAGACCTTCAGGAAGAGCAATTAGCTAAACAGCAGAGACCTTCAGGAGGAGCAATTAGTTAAACAGCAGAGACCTTCAGGAGGAGCAATTAGCTAAACTGCAGAGACTTTCAGGAGGAGCAATTAGCTAATCAGCAGATTCCTTCAGGAGGAGCAATTAGCTAAACAGCAGAGATCTTCAGGAGGAGCAATTAGCTAAACTGCAGAGACCTTCAGGAGGAGCAATTAGCTAAACAGCAGAGATCTTCAGGAGGAGCAATTAGCTAAACTGCAGAGACCTTCAGGAGGAGCAATTAGCTAAACTGCAGAGACCTTCAGGAGGAGCAATTAGCTAAACAGCAGAGACCTTCAGGAGGAGCAATTAGCTAATCAGCAGAGACCTTCACTAGGAGCAATTAGCTAAACAGCAGAGACCTTCACTAGGAGCAATTAGCTAAACAGCAGAGACCTTCAGGAGGAGCAATTAGCTAAACAACAGAGACCTTCACTAGGAGCAATTAGCTAAACAGCAGAGACCTTCACTAGGAGCAATTTGAGGAGATGAAGCCATAAATGATAAATTCACATTTTATTATATAGGCTCTTAATATCCATGAGCTGGATTGTCTCCTCCACTCTGTTAGAGACAATATCATTTTTTAAACAATTGGTTTAATTACCAGGGGAACTTATTGAAGATAGTCATTATTATGACTGTAGTCATGCATTGTACATAACCCTACAGACATATTTACATTTTAGTCATTTAGCAGACACTCTTATCCAGAGTGACTTACAGTTAGTGAGTGCATAATTTTTTTCATACTGGCCCCCCATGGGAATCGAACCCACAACCCTGACGTTGCAAACGCCATGCTCTACCAACTGAGCTACACGGGGCCTATAAGTGCAAATATGATTTACAGCAGTTTTTTTGCTATTCATGAGTACTGTAGACGTTCATTTGTTCTCAACTCAGGAAGTCTCTATTCTCCCAATTAACGTCAAACATGCAACGGAACACACACATTCAACTTATCCCGTGCTGTAGTGATGTTTACACACCCTTCATGCAATTCCAATGACAAAGTTGTTTGTTATTTACAGAATAATGACCCAATGAATAATGACTCCTCTATAAATAAATTGTTGTTTTTATCAATGTAAACATATTTTACCTTGACTATCGTTGAACTGTAGTGTTATCTACTAACATATCTTTGTCTGCCACCTTGAAATATTTATGAAATAGCAACAAGGCTTAATGCCTCTATAACAAATACATGTATTAGAATCATCTTAATATAATGTGTCTGTAATTTCACTGAAG